ATTGAGTGGTCATTGTTAACTCTGAAAAGACTATTTCAATTAATTTAGTGGAGAAGCAGCAAATAATGAATGAATAATAAACAAATACTCATTTCAAGTCTACACGCCACTCCCCCAAGGAATCTGTCACTGAATGGGAGGAAGAAGATAATGGCTTGAAAAACTTCTTTGAATTTTTGTTGTTATAAATACATAAAACAAATATATTTGTAGACACAAAAGAAAAAAATAACCAACTCACAGGACACTGCCGATGTCACATGGTAAGGGTTATAGGTAGTTGTTTTTTTTTTTGTTGTTATAAATACATAAAACAAATATATTTGTAGACACAAAAGAAAAAAATAACCAACTCACAGGACACTGCTGATGTCACATGGTAAGGTTTATAGGTAGATTTGTTTTTTCTTGATACTGAGAATTTAATCCAAGGAGCACTGAACTACGTTGTCAGACTTTTCTAAAGACATTTATTTGTTTGTTTGTTTGATTTTGTTTGTTTATTTATAGACAGGGTCTCACTAAATTCCTCAGGCTGGCATTAAAATTGCAATTCTCCTGCCTCAGCCTCCAAAGTGGATAGAGGTATGCACCCCTGTCTTCCTATTTTATTTATTTATTTATTTATTTGTTACCAGGGATCAAACTCTGGACCTTGCACGTGTGAAGCAAGTGCAACACCACTGAGCTAAATCTGTGGCCCATGTTGTCCCATTTTAAAAATGCACATTTTAGCTGGGTGTGGTGGCACATGTTTGTCATCCCAGCACTCTGGGAGGCTGAGCCAGGAGGATCTCAAGTTCAAGACTAGCCTAGAAAACTTTGTGACTTAGTCAGACCCTCTGTATCAGAAATGGGGAACCTTTTAGAGACTAAGTGCCAAACTCCAACCCAACACACACTTGTATATCACAAATGCCAACAATGCGTGAAAACCGAATATTGAGGTTTTAGTCTAGAAAAAACAACTCTACGTTAACATTTTTTGTCTTAAAATAATAACACAGGTGCCATAGATTTGCCATAATTGCCCTATATTGAAAAAAATTGGAAAAGAATCAAAAAAAAGAGGGGAGAAAGAAGGAAAGAAAAAGAAGGCTAGAGAAGTATCTGAGTGGGGAAACCCTGTCAATCCCCAGGAGCAAAACATAAAACCAAGTATGTAAGTGGCCCATGGTTCACACCTTAGGTTTATTGTTGGTAACCTGCAGGGGAACTTCTGCAGGTTGTATCATTTGCTCACCATCCCTCAAGGGAGGAGGTACTAATCAGACTGAAATAGAATTAAAAAAAAAAAAAAGTAAATAGAGATAGGTGTAAAGGAGAAAAGACAAATTGTAATTTTAAGAAAACAATGGTAGTTACTCCAGTTCCTTTTCCCCTTCCAGGAAACTCATTCAATAAAGATCCCAAAAGGGGGCCGGGGATTTAGCTCAGCGGTTTGGTGGCCTGCCTCGCAAGCGCAAGGACCCGAGTTCAATCCCTGGTACCAAAAAAAAAAAAAAAAAAGATCCCAAAAGGTCTTCCAGAGTCGACAAACCTATGAATCGGGCTCAGGCCCACACTTTTCACCTGTAAGTTGCCCTTCCCCTCCAGGCCTCCATCCTGAGAAAGCAGCCCTGTTCGGTGGCCACAACCTGAAATGCACACAAATGGTTTTTCTAACTTGGCCCACTAAATGAGTATCTCACGAACACAGGAATAACATCCAAGCCCACCCATTTTGAGGACACCCCAAGACCCAGACCACAGAGCACCTCTCTCTTGAGGGCCCCTCTCTATTCTCTCTGTGGACACTTCACAGTGCTGCCTAGTAAACCCCACTATGCCTCTCACGGACAGATCCTAAAAATTCTCTTAGTGTGACAGAAGTCACAGAACCCACAACCTACCCTGTGGCTAGGGTGAGCTGAGGTCCCTATCCTCTCTTTGGGGAAGCTCCTGGACCCATCTGGCCCCCAGATCAACCTCAGATTTGGTGGAACCCAGGAACACTGGCTCAGGGCCAGTGTGTGCAGGCCCTGGAAATCATATCATTGGGCTGCCTTGTGCTTGGTTTGTAGAGCAAATAGACTTTCTCCATCTCCTCCTAGTAATCTGGTGTGACTATTTCCCTATTTCTTAATCTTATATGTATTCCATCTGCTTATCTTCTATGCTGTGTTTTGTATCATTTCTTCAGTTATGTCCTCTAATTCACTAATATGTTTACCTAGCTATGCCTAATATGTGGTTTTGTTTTGTTTTGTTTTTTTGAGTCGGGCTCACTGTGTAGTTGAGACTGACCTGGAACTATGTAGCCCACACTTGTCTCAAACTCACAGTGATCCTCCTGCCTCAGCCTCCCCAAGTGCTGGGATTACAGGCATGCACCACCACGCCCGGCCCTAATATGTGTTTTAACCAATCAACTGAGTTTTTTTTAATGGAACAATTCTATTTTTTATTTCCAAATGCTTTATCTGGATTATTTACAAATTCATCTGCTCTCAGAGGAGAATTTCTTATTGCTTGCTTCTTTTGTGTTTCTATCTTTTATTTCTTTAAAGTTTTTTCATAATAACTTTAATATTCATTGATAACTACATTATTTGAAACTCCTAGAGAACTAAATCCGATCTTTCCGATACTCTCATGAATTTGCCTGCTTCTGTTCTTATAGCTATTGATTATGCACCCATATTTAGTTGATATTAATCTGTGGGAATCCTGGAGACCTAAATTAAGGGTATGCTTCTGTGAAACTTCATTTTCTGTATGGAGCCATACGCACCCCTAATCACCCAGCACCACTGTGACCCTGTTCTGGTTTCCTGGCTTTGTGAGATCTTGTTCTCCAAGAGTCTCCCACAATTGCCCCAGGCTCCCCTCCTTTTCTGAGTACAACTGGCACTAAGGTCACCTTGCCCTCGGGGCTCATGACTCACGGTTTCATTTTCATTCCCCTATGTCCTGTGAACTTATAAATGCATGGTATTTTTGTTTTGTAGAAGAGACTTTCCTCCTATTTTCTTATGAATCCCTCCAGTCACACTTTCCCCTCCCATCATTTCATCAAAACTACACTTCCTAAGCTCACCAATAACCTCCATGCTGTGAAATGGCAATGTCACTTCTCGGCCTGAAAGTACTTATTGTAATGGTTAATTTTATGTGTCAACTTAGCTGGCCCATGGTGGCCAGATATTTGGTCAAACATTATTCTAGCTGTTTGTGTGAAGGTGAACTTTGTTTGCACTTTGGTGAAACAGATTGACCTCCACAAAGTGACTTCATTCACTCAGTCATAGGCCTAAAAGGAACGCAAGTCCATGTTCCCAAACAAAAAGAAATTCTGTGGTCTGTAGAGGGCCTATACACTTGAACTGCACTATCAGATTTTTCAGCCACCCACATGAGCCAATTCTTAAAATAAATGTCTTTGCAGAAACATATGCATCCTACTGGTTTTGCTTCTCTAGAGAACCTTGACAAATCACTTGTTATGTTCGTAGATTTAACCAGGTTGATCACTGCCTTTTCTTGGAACCTCTTTTCATAGTTTTTACAAGAACACACCCTCCCAGGTTTTCTCCAGTCTCACTGGTTGCTCCTTCTCAGCCTCCTTTGCCAACTCCTACTCATTTTCTCAACCACTAAGTATCGGCATGTTATGGAGCTGTCTTGAGACACTTGCTCTTGCTCATCACACTGAGTATCATAGTTTTAATGTTATATACACCAACAGATTAGGATAATTTTCAATCCAAACCTCTTTATTTGCTACCAGATTCATATATCCTGCTAAGTTTATGCTTGCTGTTAGACATCGCGAGGGTGACATTTCTAAAACCAGGTCATTGAGCTCCTTTTCTCTCTCAGACTCTTCCTCCTTACCATCTTCTGCATAATACACAGGATATCATTCTAATTTCTCAGCTCCCAAACTTCAGCGTTATCCCTGGATTCATTTTTTTTCTCTCCCTCTGACATCCCCCATGCAATCTACCAGGAAATGCTGGTGTTCTCCTTTTAACATACAACTAGAATCCAGCCACTTCCTACGAACCTGTCACGACCATAATTGCCACCATGTCTTTCCGGAGTAGTAGCTCTCACCTCTCAGGGGTCTCTTTGTTTCTACCTTTACTCAAAGCATTCATTCTGGCTATAAATAACAGCTGGAGTGAGTCTTTAAAAACACAAATCCCACATCTCACTCTTCTGCCCCTAACTAGTCAAACTTTTCAACTTGGGAAGCGCAAAGTCACCAGTCACCAGGGTCACCCCGTTCCTTCTACCTCCTGCCCCGGCAATGCAGGTCACCTCTCCCTTTCATTGGTTTCTTCTGTTGGCTTTGCTGTTCTCACTGATGACCATCCCATCGCTTCCTCCCAGACTTTGCTCAGTGGTTCCCTTCTTGCCCAGGCCTTTCAGATCCCACTAATCACAGTTCAATCCCTCTACCATTTTCTAACAGATCTCCCCGCTCTGTTTCTCCTCTGTTAGCCAGCAACTCCACAGTTGACTCCTTTGTGTATTTTCCCATGTCCCCTTCACTGCAGTATCAGCTCCATGATGGTAAGATTTTTTGTTTAATTTACTATACCATTCTCAGTTCTCGATACAATAATTCACCCATAGGAGGCACTCAGTAAACATTTGCTGAGTGAATGAAGAACTGATTGTGAATCCTCATTATAGGAAAGAGTACAAAGAAAGGGACAACCTCAAACATTACAGGGGAAGTATAATTTGTGCGATATTGTTGAAGACTTGCCTTGAGTGAGCTGTCAGCTCCAGCGCTTGCAGCAAATACATTTTGCCCCAAAACATGTGTGACTCCAATCACACTTTCTTCTTGCCCTCTGAAAGCCGTTGGCTTCTCCACCCTGGGTCTAAAAGGATCTTTTGGTCCTGCAACCACAGCAAGAATATACAGAACTTTCTTCCGGATCACACATTCTTCAGTAACTCTTGGCCACTGTATCCACTCTCTTACTTTTTTCCCCTTTTCTCAGTCTAGATAACAGACTCCATTCAGAATCAATTCAAGTTCAAACCCTCTGTGAACCCTTCGCTAGACACCTGGTAGTGACTCACCTCTGGGTCCAGGTAAGATTTTGTGTGGAGTTTAATTACAACTCTAGTCTGGATCAGATTGCATTCTGTGTGTTTGGATTTCTGTCTCCCAATGAGACTGAAAGCAAACTTGTGACCTCCTTGTTTTGTCCCCAGGTCTCAGATTCAGGGGTGGCCTCTATTTTTGCTTCCATATACAAATAAGTCATTGAATGTCCTTTCCTAGGCTTCTTCTCTAATTTTTTCCAAGTAAAGTGTTTAAAACTTGGCCATTGTGATATAGTGGAAATAAATGACTCTCAACCTGTTAGTTGTCCAATATGCCAAGTTTGTGTTCCCCAAAAATCAAAGAATGAATTCCAAGAAACAATGGAGGTTAAGAGTAGGAGATGTTTATTGACAGAGATAGCTCCTGAGAGATGGGGAGAGAGATCCAAAAGTGGGTTGTCAGAGAGTCTAATTCTCAAAGGAAGTTTTACAGAGCAAAGTCATGAGGTGGGTACAAAATCATGAGGTAGCTACAACGTGGGTACCAACCAATAAAGTTATAAGCATAGCTGTTTAGGTAATATTGATCCAATGGGGAAGCAGCTCGTATAGTAAGTGCACGTGGAAAGAAGAAAGACTTTTTTTTTAGGAAGGAATGGATTAGGTGATCTTGGTCACCCACCTGGATGACTGATGTCTAGCTAGACTTCAGTAGACCAAGTGTTATTATCTTATCTGCTGGGAGGTAGGTAGGCCTGGTCATTTTGTCTGTATCTGGAGACCTGGCCTTTAACAGGTGTATCTCCAGCCACAGCTGGAATGTGTTCTCATCCTCTGCACTGACTTTCTTGGAAGGCCAGCCCTGGCTGGCTGCCTGTAATATTTTTACCTAACTTAGCTGTCTATAATAATTGTTTTTTTCTTCCTTTTTTCCTTTTTGGTACCAGGGATAGAACTTGGGTCCTTGTGCTTGCAAGGCAGGCAGCAGAACCACTGATCTAAACCCCCAACCCTGTCTATAATAATTGTATGACATTAGAACAGTATATGTTCCTGGATAAAGCTGGTCCTGAACACAGAATCTTCAAAGGTTTTTAGAATAAGATATTGTCCTTCCTGTGCAGCTAGGCATAGTATCTTTGGACAAGATACCCAGGATCATTTATCAGGTGGGTGCTAAGCAACAGGAACAGCTCAGCTGCACTTCACTCCTATATTTTACATGGTGAAGTCTAGGTTAAAATTTTTTTCATCATTGGGAATGATAATAGAATATATTACTAGTTTACTTGAAGCTTTTTCCCCACAGAAAATTAAAGCTCAGAATAAAACAGTCAAGTAGGGCTATTCTGAGGCTTTTCTTCAGGTTTCCAAAGAGAAACAAACACATTTCTCATTCTTTTCTGCCCTTAAATTTCATATAAAAATTAAGGAGGCACAAACCTAGCTTGTGTCGCATGTTTTGAGTTCCCTGATACACTGTGCCAGAACCAAGTAACTCCACACCCTCAGAAGTGGCTGTAACCCAGGATGACACAATCTGTGTTTGTCACACTGCCAACATAAGAAAAGAAAGAAATTGTTTAAAGGCCCTTTTGTTACATAGTAATGTTTTATTCAGAAGGAGAGGAAAAGTTGGATTGATACAAAAGGCAATTCTTCTCCTTTTCTACTTCATCCCACAACCAAATCAATTCTTGCCTCTGTGTTGCTAGTGCCTCCTACGACTTTATGCACCGGGACTTCTCATGGGCTCCCATTCAGCTGTAATGACGGATGTTCTACATACCTCACCAGTGCAGAGGGAAGACTGACACAACGGAAGGAGCTGGGTGATGGGTGGAGTTTATTTTTAAGGGTGGTTTGTCCCTATTTGTCCAAGAACATAGTTTGTTTTTTTTTTCTTTTTCATGTGGATAAACAAGAGAACCATTTTTGACCACCAGAGAATTGAAACTAGGAAGGTCACTTCAGTCCTGACCTCAGGTTTGAAGAGTCCAGAGCAGAACACATTGCTTGGTCACTAAAGTAAATAATCTTGACCTTTGGGTGTGGGCTGATGACTGGAAAACATTAAAAAAAATAATAAGGGAACCTTATGACTTGGACCTGGCTTGTTTTTAACATTCTTTTCTGTCTTACTAATATCTAGGATCTAGCCCCATATTGAAATGCCATGTAATGGAAACTAAAGAACTTTCTCTGTAACTTACCTAATGTCTTTTCAACCAGACCTGAACATTTCATTACGCAGAATGATTTTGATGGTCAAGCATTTTACCTCTTTGGTGTAGGTTGAAAAAAATATGTTTCCATTTAGAATTTTTAAACATAATTCTAACTACAAGTAAAAATGGAAAATCATATTTTCTACCATTATTCTGAAATTACTGAAGGAATTTTTCTAGGCTATGGCTTTAAAGGAACATCAACAACCCAGAAAGCATAAGTTTTTAATACAAAATGATAAGGATGAGAGTCACATGTTATAGTTTAAGTATGGAAGTGAATAATATAATATGTTACAAAAATCCTCTTCCTAATATGAGACTCATAGAAGCACAGATCTTGCAGTGATCCTCTATTATTTTTGTCTGTATGCTACCCCATTCTTTTGCCCTTTCCTTCTTTCGGTAATATCCCTGTGTGTGGGGGTGTAAATTTCCTTATATTATGAGAGCTGCCCATAGGTTACCCAGCGCTCCGCATCCCAGCCAGTCTTCTTGTGCTATCCACAGTGTTTGAACTTTGATGTGACCCCAAGTATGAGCCACGTAGCATTTTTCTACATGAACGATCCATACACTAGAGGACACACAGCCCTCGCTACCTGGGGCTCTGCTTCTTACAATCCAAAACAGACTGATCTGCTATTGGCCCTATGAAAATAAATCTGAGATAAACAGATAGATGTGACAGAAGGGGTAAAAAGAAACGTGTTGACTTTGCTTGGGTCTCTGGTTCTGGTCTCTGAGGTCCCCCAAAACACAGCTTTTCCTGCAGGGCTCCCACCTACCTCACCTTGTTCCAGATAATTCAGTCTTTCCACTCTAATCCAGCTCAAATTGCAACCAGAATATTTTAATCCAGGAACATCCATTCAAGAATATATTGTATTGACATTTAATGCTTATGGAAAAAATTTTATTGGTGAAAACTAAAAATTGGAATAGCCAGTTTACTGTGTTGTTTTGTAAAACATTGTAAAAACATTTAGGAAAAATACTGAAAGCATTTAAAATAATTTGCTTTAAGACTTTGCTTTTCATTTTGCCTCCTTTATTAATCTCTAGTACAAAATGTATCTTAGTTAAGAGTGACAGTAAATTGTTCACTGAAATTAGGGATGCCAGCTGGGTGTGGGGCACACGCCTGTAACTTCAGCACTTGGGAGCCTGAGGCAGGAGGATCACTGGGAGTTTGAGATCAGCCTGGGCTACACAGTGAGTTCCAGGTCAGCTTGAAGTGAGACCCTGTCTCAAAAAACCAGCTCCCCCTTACCCCCCGAAAAAGAGAAAACTAAAAACCTAACCCCCCAAAAAAATTAGGGAAACTGGTCTGATACTTTATTTTATATTATGATGCTTTTTCTTCTTTGTACCAGGGATCTATCTCCAGTCCTTGCACTTGTGAGTCAGTCGGTGGCACCATTGAGTTAAATCCCTGGCCCCTATATTATAATGCTTTTAAAGCATTTTTAATGTTTAAGAGAGATACATTTGTATTGGTCTAGGGATTTAGCTCAGTGGTGCTGCCGCCTAACTAAAAAATACAAGGTCCTGAGTTTGATTCCTGGTACCAAGTAAATAAATGAAATAAAAAAAAGAGATATACTTGTATTATGCCTAAATTATATACCATATCTCCCGATACACATACAGATACCCCAAATATTTTTTATTTATACAAACTAGTAGTCAAGAGAACGTTTTGTTGTTGTTGTTGTTGTTGTTTTAGGTTTTTTTGCGGGGGGGTTCCGGGTATGAAACTCCGGTTCTTGTGCTTGCAAAGTGGGAGCTGGAACCACTGAGCTAAATCCCCAGTCCTGTATTCTAGTCGTTGAAACTGTGGTAACTCTAGAGATGGGTTTGTTTAGCTTCTCTGGAGCTCAGGAAAAAGAAGATATGGTTATAGATGGGGTGTCTTTTAGCTCTAAAATCCTATCACATCACAGCTAGAAAAAGAAGTCAGTTTTGTTAGAAAAAGACTGCTGATTTTACCCCCACCCAAAATCAAATACTGCTTGTTATGCTTTCCTTTGAACTGTTTTCCAAAAACATTTTGTGAATGTGACTGGGGAAAATAAAGCCTGCCCCCCCCACACCAAATGAATGCAAACTATGTTGGCTTTGGGAAAAAAATCTGTTGTCTAAAGGACTCCAAAGTCATTGGCTGAGATGGTGAATTGATAAGGAGCAAAAACCAAAAACAACAATAAAAAACTCCCTCATAAATCTCAACAATGTCATTTACATAATATCATGAAAGCATATTTAAAAAGAAGACCAGATCTTTTTTTGTTTTGTTTTGTTTTGGTTTGGTTTTTTGAGACAGGGTCTCACTATGTAGTTGAGACTGACCTGGAACTCACTATGTAGTCCAGGCTGGTCTTGAACTCATAGCAATCCTCCTGCCTCGGCCTCCCAAGTGCTGGGGTTACAGGCGAAAGCCACCATTACCGGCCAAGAAGACCACATCTTTATACTTGCTTCAGTGAAAGAGAAATATGGAGCTGGAAATTTAAAATATCTCATGTAAAAACTGATGACCTGGGTACTCAGTGATTTCTTTATAGAAATATCAAATATTTCTTCTTAAAAAGTTCAATAATGTTTTGAATGTGCATTATGAAAATTAATGCTACATACCTTTATATTTTAGAATATATTATTTTAACACTTTTTCTCCCCTGCCCTTGCTTCAGCACTGGGATCAAACCTAGGGCCTTGTGGTTGCTAAGCAAGTGCTCTAGCCCAGGTTGCCCTACTTTAACAGTTTTTTAAGAAATTGATTTCAAATTATTTTTTAAAAGCCTCTATTTTCACTTTGGCTTTGCCCCTAAAGCATGAGGTACAGGAGAAACAGCAGCCTTGTGATGCGGTTTCGGAGTACATAGTTCATAACTGTGACTTTGGTATGTTTCACAATTTCAGTTGCAAGATGCAGAAACTCATTCACTCCACCCCAGGGCACAGGGTGTCTGGGAGTGGTTTTAGTTCCTTAGGTTTGTAAAGAATACTTATGGAAATTAGAGAAACTGAAATTGCAAGCTTCCCAGAGACCGCAGAACGGCTGAGGATCCTTGGAGGACAGCAAAGTGGAGTTTGGGGACCTGTTCTTGAGAGCAGGGTTCTCATCCCGGCGGGACATCCCACACACCTGAAGAGTGTTTGACAGTAGAGATTCTGAGGCCATCCTAGGTTGAGGTTCTTGTCTGGTACACCTGGGGAAATGCCTGTGCACTCTGGTTTTCTGAAAGCTCCAAGCTAGAATCCATGTGCTTTGTGTTACCTGGTGTCGTCCCAGCTCTCTTGGTGTCTGCCTCTCGATGATGCCACTTCTTGTTGGCTCCCTCAGCTTCTGCACTTTGTGCCTTAGTTTTTCCCCCAAACTTCCTATGCTGTCTCCTCCAAGTCTTTTCTCAGAGGTGACACTTCCCTGGCTTGTTATTGCAATTGCACCCTAGCCCTGCAGTCTTCCACTGGATTGTTTTATCCAACACTCACTACCTTCTAATGCACTACATATTTTTCTTATTTATTGTCCCCTCCATTAGAATCCAAGATCCAAGAGGAAGTATTTTTGTGTATTTCGTCCATATTGCAACCCCAGCAACTAAAACAGAGTAGGTGCTTAAGAAACACTTGTTGCCTGAAGAAGTGAATAAATGCGCAGGTAAATGCTTTCTGCTCAGTCACAGGCTGACTTTACTTTTGCTTTCTGGTGATCTCTCAGGGCCCTTCCTGCAGCCACTGCTCTCCACATCTCCTTTTCGATTTAGCTTCCTCAACTGATCATCTATTGGATCAGCTTTTCTGGATGGAATTTTTTGCCCCAGGTCATTTTGTGACCTGCCAGGTCAGTTCTCACCCAGCAGCAATAGAGAATCAAGGATCATAAAAACACAGCACAAAAGAGTACCCCTTGGGGCCACTCTCTTAGCGAGGGACGAGGGACGCGGAGTTTCTCCCAGAAGCTGACTTGGGTGAGGAGTAGATGTTCTACAAATTACCTACTCCCATGAAACTTCAATAAAATGGTCTAACCACATCTGCCTGTTTTGTTCAACTGAACAATGTATAAAAAAACATTTTCAATATTAACTTATTATAAAAATAAAACAAGAGGAGTGTGAGAAGTTATATAATTTTAAGTGACATTAAAATATGCTTTTAAAAGCCTAAGGGAAATTATGGGGAGAAATAAGGAATTTAGAAACATGCCACTTAAAGTGCCTTCTGAATTCTTTACTCGAGCTGGTGATAAAGGTCAGTGTGCATTTTTTAAAAATCCAAAACTTTAATATGACAAATAATGAAAAACTCCAAAGTCACTAATTATAAAGAATAGATAATTCATTATCTATTTATTGCATTTAAATCAGATTGTTAAAACAAGTATGATAAATACAGTATGAAAATAACTTTAAATTTCAAACAAAACAAAGTGAATCAAGCATAGGCAATGTGAAAACAAAGTAATAAAATTAGTGCTTAATTAGATTTGGGGGAGAAGCAACTGATTCTATCTCATCGCAGTTTCCCAGCTATATTTTAAGACTGAAGATACTTTAGCAAGTACATTTTACAACAATTAGAAATATAATAAGGATGTAAATCTGGTTTATTTAAAAGTAAAGTTTTTTTGCTTAGTGATACATAAAAGCCTTCAGAAATTCAAGTTTAACAAAAAAATGGAAGTAGAATCAAAGAAAGTACACTTAAAGCTGCTTGTCAACAATTAAAAAGTAGTTTCTATATTGCTATTAGATGACTTTCAACCACAAATAGTAATAAAAACAATTTTTTCAAAAGTAGCACTAAAAAATTTAAAACAAAAATAACCCAAAATGATGACTCTCTGCCTTTTTTAATCATCCACTTTCTTCTTTTAGTAGCTTTTGTAAACCATCACTATGAATGAATGTTCTTTTAGATATAATTGTAGTTGAAATTCCATTTTTAAAAAATTCACATTACTCCACAGTACAGTAATATGATGTGTGTGTATGTATATATATGTATATATAGATATACTTTTAATCTTAATATATAAAATACCACTGAGTATAAAAGTTTTCAAAGAAACTGTCATTTGTGTTATTCTCACAGTAGATATGTCATCTCAGTCTCACAGTAGTCTGTTGACAACTGGACCTAAAAGGGTAAGAATAGTTTTGGCAAAAAGAAAAAACATTACATTCTACATATATCGAGACAAAGGAACCCAAACTCCTCAGAACTAGTGATATTAATACACTTGTACTGTGTGCTTACGTGAAGTACCAAAACCTAACAAACAAACACAAACAAACCACTAGCAGAGTAGCTGAGTAGCAAGAGAACTACTCTGCTTGATAACACCAGCATAGAAGAGTGGGCTCCACCTTTGTCTTTTCTGTAGCACAGCGAGAACAGCCTGTCACTGCTAACACGATACACAGAGTAGTTCCCAAAGATGCATCCACCTGCAAGTCCAAATGATGTAACTGTGCCCCACAGATGCATAACCAGGGACGGGAAGGGTTGCAATTCTGAATAAGTATTCTAATCAGTTACATTTTCTTCCAACCTGCAACCTTTCCTCCTCCACCTATGATATATACCAACAGCCTTTGTGTCTTAATGCATAATGTCCTCAATGCACACAGTTGATCTTTTTAATACTAACATTTTATTGAGGTGATATTAGAATAGTTACACCAGTGGTCTACTTTTTAAAAGATTATTCAAAATCGATGCTTGGCATGTTTGCCTAGCATGCATGAGGCCCTAGATTCCATCACCAGCACCAAAATGGCA